TTTCTTCCTCTCTCTGTAGTTCTGCCTTTCAAATAAATAAATCTTTTAAAATAAACACACAAGTAAATAAATGGATGCAATAACTCCTTGTCCATATGTCTTCATTCTCAACTTCATCAATGTCTCTCATTGACGGGATTCTGTTGTTAGGCTTTTTATGGACAGTTCGTGGCTGCTGTGTTGCTCGTGTTGAGATTTCATTTGCTGGTTCTTCTGTAACACTGTGTGGTGGCAGATCTGAAGATTCATTTTTTCCCCCACTCACTTTAGGAAAATCAGTTTTTGTCTTTTATCTTTTTATTCTTAAAATTTATTTTTAAAGGATTTATTTTTATTTATTTAAAAGAGTTACAGAGAAAGGTAGAGACAGAGAAAGAGATCTTCCATCCACTGGTTCACTCCCCAAATGGCTGCAAAGGTCGGAGCTGAGCTGATCTGAAGCCAGGAGCCAGGAGCTTCTTCCAGGTCTCCCACAAGGGTGCAGGGGTCCAAGGACTTGGGCCATCTTCTACTGCTTTCCCAGGCCATAGCAGAGAGCTGGATCAGAAGTGGAGGAGCCGGGAGTCGAACCAGCACCCACATGGGGTGCCAGCACTTCAAGCTGGGGCTTTAACCCGCTGCACCATAGTGCCATAGTGCCGGCCCCCTGTCTTTTATCTTTAAACCATCTTTTTTTTTACTGAGTTACTCACATCAGGCACAGCACTCACCCCAATAGTGTGTTGCTGGTCTGACTTCCATCTCTCTCTCTCTCTCTCTCTCTCTCTCTCTCTCTCTCTCTCTCTCTCCTGTTTGTCCTTTTCCTCTCCATGCACTGGGGTGGCTTCCTCAGGTGTTCTCGGCAGTGCCCACATGGATCCTTGTGTTTCTGACGCTGTTTATCCACGCAGCAGTTCCAGTGATTGGTCTCCTGTGTTTTCCTTGGGTCTGTTCTCTCCTTTCATCTCCTTTGACTGCTCATGTCAGTTTGAGCTCCTGTTTTATTGTGTCTTACTCTTCCTGAGGTGCTCTATAGCCTAGAGCGAGTGTGCAGGAGGATGGCTGAGCTCTTTGATCTTCCCTAAGCACTGTGTGTTCATGGTGTTGCCTCCTTATCTTGCTTCGTGCTGCAGGTTGTATAATCTGAGATGCGCTGGACATGCAGGGAGTGGAGCGCTTCACCACAAAGGCTGATCCACAGGCTGTGCTACTGCAATGGCTCTACAGATTTGTTCTGAGTGGGGTGACGGGCCCTGGCCTTTGCACCCTTATACAGACCAGTGGTTGGAATACAGGGAGCTCTCGGAGGGTAGCTGTGCTAGGGAGGCCCCCGCTGGGGAGAGTGCTTCTGTCCAGAGTGGGCACATGAGCAGGTGCAACCCAGCACCTGCTGGTGGTGCTGTCCAGACATCCACCCTATTTTCTCTGCTGAGGTGGGTTTACTCTGTCCCTTCGTACCCTATCTGAGACAGGTGTGTTTTCTCTCTGACGTGCAGAGTGAGGGCTGAGTGATATAGTTGAGCTTTTATGGTGTTCTCAGAGAATGCCTGGGCACCAAGGAAGGGTTGAGCAATCAAGTGATCTACTTGCTGCTTTGTTAAGAACAATGTGAGGTAGGGGTCAGGATTCTGTACCCAAATCCCCCAATGCCGTTTGTTGCAAGCCTTCTTTGGGCCTCTGCAGTGGCATCCTTGTCTGATGCAGGGGTCTATACATGCATCTACCTGCACCTGTCCATCCTATCCTATCTATATACTCATCCTCTCTGCACCTGTCCACTATCATTGTGCAAATAGCACACAGTCTCACTTGTGGTGACCTTATTTTCACTTGAAAAAATGTGTTAAGCAGGTATGATATGGTTCAAGGTAGCTAGCTGAGCTGGGGGTCGCAAACCACAAGGCCCTGCCCCATGTCATTTTATTCTGTCGGTCAGAACACTCCCTTTCCCAGGATACCTGGAGAAGGGTCCCCACGTCATGTGCATTAAGCTGCAATGTGGAATTTTATGGAGGGGTCATAAGTCTCCCAGGTGACCACATTGGTTCATAAAAGGAGGTGCTGGGGGGTACTCGGTCTCTCATTAGGCAAGAACAAGAGGAGGTCCTGAGGGTGTTCCCCTCTCTCTACTTCCCTGTGAGGAGCAACTCGGACTAGACTAAGTTACTGGAATTAAGACTTATTCTATACATCTGCTCTCCCACAATATGGCGCTGGGAGAGGAGCAAACAGCTTCTACCCAGCTGCCTCTCACCAACTTGACAAGCTGCAGGACCTGCTCCTGATTGGAGGAGAGCAGCGTGCTCGGCGTGTGGGTAGCAGAGTTGGGATTGGTGGAAGAGGACTATAAAGGAGGAGAGAGACACCATGCACCAGGAACATCTAAGAGGAACATCTATCAGAAGGAACACCTGTGCAGCCCCCGAGAGAGCCGGCCGGCGGTGTGCCGCTCCCCCGCGGAAGTGGGGAAAGTGGCAGGGGGAACCGCCCTTCCACGGAGGTGGAAGGGTCGGTAGCCAACCCGGGAAGAACCAGCAGCAAACCCGGGGAGGGCCGAGCAGACGAAAGAACAACGCAGGGTCCTGTGTCGTTCCTTCACGAAGACGGGGAGCGACATAATGGTGCCATGACTCGGATATGAAGCCTAGGCAGGGTTTAGTGTCGCTCCTCCATGAAGAGGGGGAGCGACACTTCCCCTCCCCAACCCCCTTCTCTCTCTGGCCCACCATAACTATACGTGTGTGTGTGTGTCTGTGTGTGTGTCTGCTTTCTTACCATTTAAATAAACTTTATCACTTTGTATACCATACGTGTGTTTGTGCTGAAAATGCTTTTATTTAAAAAAATTTATTTATTTGAGAGGCAGAGTTATAGACAATGAGAGGGAGAGACAGAGAGGTCGGTCTTCCATCCACTGGTTCACTCCCTGAGTGGCTGCAATGGCAGCAGCTGGGCCGATCCGAAGCCAGGAGCCAGCGCAATTGTTTCTCACCCTGCCAACTCCATGGTATCTGTGTTGAATACAGAGAGAGGGAGTAGTGCTTCTCAGGTTCTCCAGAGACTTAGATTTAAAGGCGTATGGAAAGGCAAAAGGAACTTTTATATATTTGACAGTATAGGATATTGTCTATTCTTGATAAAATTACTGTAGTATCCTTGCTTAAAGACAAGAGTTTCAAACTTACTATTGAAATAAACCTATCTGTTCATGACAAAAAAAAAAAAAAAAAAAAAAAAAAGACACTACTTGGGGCAGCCACGTCCATGATCAAAGTGCTTGGGTTTGATTCTCAGCTTTGCTCCCAAGTCTAGCTTCCCGCTCATATGCACCGTGAGAGGCAGCAGGTGATCACGGCTCAAGCACTCAAGTCCCTGCCACCCACATGGGAGACCTGGATTGAGTTCTGGGCTCATGGCTTCGGCGTGGCCCATATCTGGCTGTTACGGGCATCATTTTGGGCATGAACGTTGCAGATGGGAGCTCTATGTTTGTCTGTCTATTTGTCTTGGTCTCTGCCTTCCAAATAAACCAACATAAAGCAGCACACACTAATACTGTGTCATACCTAACAATAAAAAAGCTCCTTCAAAATATTCAGTTAATGTTATTTGATTCTTTTTGGTGCCGTTGTAAAATGTCTTTACATTGCTCATTTTCTTTGATTCCTGCTGGCATATAGATATATAGTTGCCTTTTAAAAATATATTTATCTTGGGGCTGGCGCTGTGGTGTAGCAGGTAAAGCTGCTGCCTGCAGTGCTGGCATCCCATATGGGTGCCATTTTGGGTCCTGGCTGCTCCACTTCCAATGCAGCTCTCTGCTGTGGCCTGGGAAAGCAGTGGAAGTTGGCCCAGATGCTTGGGCCCCTGCATCCGCGTGGGAGACTGGGAAGAGGTTCTTGGCTTTGGATCAGTGCAGCTCCGGTTGTTGCTGCCATCTGGGGAGTGAACCAGCAGATGGAAGATCTCTCTCCCTCTCTCTTTTTTAAAGATTTATTTATTTATCTGAAAGTCAGAATTACACAGAGAGAGGAGAGGCAGAGAGAGAGAGAGAGAGAGAGAGAGAGAGAGAGAGAAAGGTCTTCCATCCGATGGTTCACTCCCAAATTGGCCGCAATGGCTAGAGCTGTGCCAATCCGAAGCCAGGAGCCAGGAGCTTCTTCTGGGTCTTCCACGTGGGTGCAGGGGCCCAAGGACCTGGGCCATCTTCCACTGCTTTCCCAGGCCATAGCAGCCGGGACTCGAACTGGTGCCCATATGGGATGTGGGCACTGCAGGCTGGGGCTTTAACCTAGTGCACCACAGCATTGACCTCTCTCTTTCTTTTTCTTCTCACTCTCTCTCTCTCTCTGTCTCTGCCTCTCTGTGACTCTGCCTTTCAAATAAATAAATCTTAAAAAAATAATAAAATAAAAATGTATTTATCTTGTATTTGATGAGCTTTCTAAAATGATTCCGTTAGTTCTAGTCACTTCTCAGCAGCCTCTTGGGGCTTCTCCACATACACAGTCATATTGTCGTTTACATTTGTCTTCCAGGTGTTGCAAGGACCAGTTAGCTGAAAAGTGAAGAAAGTTGAGTTTGCGTTGTCTAGCCCATAATAGCTCCTGTCATTATGTTTTTTTTTTTTTTTAAGATTTATTTATTTATTTGAAAGATAGAATTACAGAGAGGCAGAGGCAGAGAGAGAGAATCTTCCATCTGCTGGCTTACTCCCTAAATGGCTGCAAAGGCTGAGCTGGGATGATCTGAAGCCAGGAGCCAGGAGATTCTTTTGGATCTCCCGCACAGGTGCAGGGGTCCGAGGACTTGGGCCATCTTCTGCTGCTTTCCAAGGCCATTGCAGAAAGCTGGATCGGAAGTGGGGCAGCCAGGTCTCGAACCGGTGCCCATATGGGATACCGGCACTGCAGGCAGCGGCTTTATTAACTGTGCCACAGCGCCAGCCCCATTGTCATGTTTATGCACCGTATTCATATTCTTATATGTTGCTGAACTTTGTTATTCTGTGTTTTTTATAGCTTTCCATCACCGATTGTTCTCGGAATTGGACAGGTAAGGGAACAAGTTAAACCTGTCTCTTCCTGAGACAGGGTACATGATGATGTTTATGGGTCTCTGGGTAAGACCACGGTTTATGAATTCAGTCGGTGTTTCTAAAGGGTGGGGGATCCTGCCACTGGTGAGGAGACATGGTGAAGTCGTGACTCTGTGCAATCAGTCTCCAATGCAGGACTGCTGTATGTGGGGGTGGGGGGGTGGGGGGAAGAAAACTATTTGCTCTAAGTTCTTTCACTGAATGGAATTACTATAAGCTGGGGGCCTGAGGACCCAGAGCGACACGGTGGGCTGGGGAGAATTCTTTTTTTTTTTTTTTTTTAAAGATTTATTTATTTATTTGAAAGTCAGAGTTACACAGAGAAAGGAGAGGCAGAGAGAGAAAGAGGTCTTCCATCCGCTGGTTCACTCCCCAATTAGCCGCAACTGCCGGAGCTGCGCTGGTCCGAAGCCAGGAGCCAGGAGCCTCTTCCTAGTCTCCTACGTGGGTGCAGGGGCCCAAGGACTTGGGCCATCTTCTACTGCTTTCCCAGGCCACAGCAGAGAGCTGGATTGGAAGTGGAACAGCTGGGACTTGAACTGGCGCCCATATGAGCTGCCGGTTCTGCAGGTGGCAGCTTTACCTGCTACGCCACAGCGCGGGCTCTGAGAATTTTTGCTCTCAGAATCCTGTGCTTGGTACTTAATTAAGCCAGTGTACAGATTGGAAAAATATTGATGTGATGGGGGGAGAATCACCACCTCCTTGTTATCAGAACTTGAGGGCTTTCTCAAGAGAAAGAAGGAATTTGAATTTTTCTATCAAATCTCCACATTGGTAAATGCTGGAGACTGATTACAATTTTTGCCAAGAAAATATGTCTGCAGTTTGCTTCCTGCAATTTCTTTTAAATATTTCTTTATGTATCTGAAAGGCAGAGTTACAGAGAGAGGGAGGTATCTTCCATACACTGGTTTACTCCCTAAGTGGCCTGAACAGCTGTCGTGGTTCAGGCTGAAGCCAGAAGCCTGGAACTACATCCAGTTCTCCCTCATGGGTGGCAGGGGCCCAGGGACTTGGGCCATCTTCTGCTGCTTTCCCAGCCAGGTGCATTAGCAGGGAGCTGGATTGGAAGTGGAGCAGCTGGGACTTGAACCGGTGCTCATATGGAATGCTGGCATCCCAGGCAGTGGCTTTACTCCCTGTGCCACAATGCCAGCCCTGCTTACTGCAGTTTCCAATATTTGCTCTCAGGTACCAGCGTAAACTTGGGTAAATGTTCAAACTAAGTCCATTTGGCTGTTTCTGAAATGTTCCATTAATACTAACGTGTTTATTTTATTCCTTTGGTCATGGGCTGTTGATTTCTAGTAAACAAGCAGTAACAGGCGTCCAAGTGTTTTTTGCTCTAAGTTACTTAGGGAAAAGCTTAAAATTATGAAAATTGTACCTGTTAATTAAATTTTAATTGTGAATCTAGAGAAACCTGTCATTTCTGTGAGTAAACATTATTCTGAGTAAATAGTATGCTAACGAATAGCTTTTTGCAGTATCACTTTAGGAAGAAAAATTATGACCAGGAAACAATGTTGTACAAAAAACATACTATCTTTATGTTTCAATGCAAAAACATATAGGAAAAAAGCACTTACAAAAGATCAGTGAGGGGCAGGTATTTGGGTAGCTGGTAAGATACCACCTGGAATGCCTGGGTTTGAGTCCCAGCTCTTCCTGATTCCAACTTCCTGCTAGTGCAGACGCTGGGAGATAGCAGGTGATGGCTCCCTGCCGCCCACGTAGGAGACCCAGATTGAATTCCTGGCTCCTGGCTTCAGCTTGGACCAGCCCTGCCCATTGCGGGCATTTGGGAACTCTGCCTGTCTTTCTTGAATTATAAATAAATAACCTTGGCACAGTAGTCTACGTTGCTTCTTGGGGTGTCCATATTCTGTATTGGAGTGCTTGGTGCAAGGCCCAGCCACTCCACTTCTAATCCAGCTTCCTGCTGATGCACATACCCTGGGAGGCAGCAGGTGACGGCCCAAGTACTTGTGGATCCTGCCACCCATGTGGGAGACCCAGTTGGAATGCCTGGCTCCTGGCTTTCACCTGGCCCAACCCTAGCTGTTTTGGACATTTGGGGAATGAACCAGCAGATGGATGGGACATCTCTCTCCATCTGTCTCTGTCCCTCTCCTTTTTCAAATACAATGAAAATAAATACCTAAAAATTTAATAGAATTATGCTGACTCATTGAATATGTGATAATATAACCTTTGTAGTCCCCAAGCCAAATAAATTCACGGTTGTTTGATCCACTGGCTTATACTCAGTTATGGTCAGGCCTTCCTAACTTACAGTGTGTTGCGTGAAGAGGCCAGTTAGACCCAATTTTATTTTTTTAATTTTTTAATTCTTTAATTTAATTAATTTTTAAAAGATTTACTTTTATTTATTTTAAAGACAGAGTGACAAAGAGAAAAAGAGAGAGAGAGAGAAACCATTTGCTGGCTCACTTCCACAATGGCCACAAAAGTGGTCTTCCAGACCGAAACTTAGAAAGTCTGAATTAGACTTATTTAAAGTGAGTTTTGAATTTTAACTGAGTTAGTATGTTTCTTTAAGAATTACAAGGTGAGGGTCTGGTGCTGTGGCTCTGCGGGTTAACGTCCTGGCCTGAAGCTCCGGCATCCCATGTGGGCGCTGGTTCAAGACCCAGCTGCTCCACTTCCGATCCAGCCCTCTGCTATGGCCTGGGAAAGCAGCAGAAGATGGCCCAAGTCCTTGGGCCCCTGCACCTGTGTGGGAGACCTGGAAGAAGCTCCTGGCTCCTGACTTCAGATCGCTGCAGCTCCAGCTGTTGCAGCCAATTTGGGATGAACCATCGGATGGAAAACCTGTCTCTCTCTCTCTCTCTCTCTCTCTCTCTCTCTCTCTCTCTCTCTGCCTCTCCTATCTGTGTAACTCTGACTTTCAAATAAATAAATAAATCTTAAAAAAAAAAAAAGAATTACAAGGTGAGACCTCAAGGTGAAGTTCAGTCATAAATCAGGATGGACTTGAGTTATACAAATCTGTTGTATCAAGTTTGTAGTTCACTAGGAGCAAGTTTGTAAATTCGCTAGGATTATAACTCTAAAGCTTTCAAGGCTGGCGTCATGGCACAGAGGGTTAAGCACCACCTGCAACACGGCATCCCATATGAGCACTGGTTGGAGTCCCAGTGCTGATCCCGCTCCCTGCTAATGCACCTGGGAAAGCAGCAGGAGGTGACCTGAGTGCTTGGGTCCCTGCCACCCTCATGGGTGCCACCCAGATGGCATTCCTGGCTCCTGGCTCCTGACTTTGGCCTGGTCCAGCCCTGGTTGTGGTGGCCATTTGGGGAGTGAACCAGCAGATGGAAGATATCTCTCTCCATAACTGTCTTTCAAATAAATAAATAAATCCTTAAAGTTTGTATCTTCATATAGAGGAAATTAAGTTCTAAAATTTGCATGGAAAGGCATTAACATTTTTTATTTCCTAATAATAAATAATAAGGCTTATTTCTTTTTCAAGAATATTTTGTTTGGGAGGCAGAGACACACAGAGGAGAGAGAGAGAGAGAGAGAGCGAGTGAGAGAGAGAGCGAGTGCTTCCATTCTCTGGTTCACTTTTTTTTTTTTTTTTTTTTTTTTTTTTTCAGGCAGAGTGGACAGTGAGAGAGAGAGACAGAGAGAAAGGTCTTCCTTTGCTATTGGTTCACCCTCCAATGGCCTCTGTGGCTGGCACGCTGCTGCCAGCACACCGCGCTGATCCGATGGCAGGAGCCAGGTGCTTCTCCTGGTCTCCCATGTGGGTGCAGGGCCCAAGCACTTAGGCCATCCTCCACTGCACTCCCGGGCCACAGCAGAGAGCTGGCCTGGAAGAGGGGCAACCGGGACAGAATCCAGCGCCCCGACCGGGACTAGAACCTGGTGTGCCGGCGCCGCAAGGTGGAGGATTAGCCTAGTGAGCCGTGGCACCGGCCTCTCTGGTTCACTTCACAAATGCCTGCAATGAGCCCAGCTGGGAGCCATTCAGGTCTCCTGTGGCAGGAACCCAATTACTGGAGCCATTACGCTACCACTCAGGGTTAAGTCAGGAGCGGGAGATGGGACTTGAACCCAGGCTACTCTGCTAATGGGATATGGGCATATTAACCACCAGGCCACTCTGTATGGAGTGCTTCTAATCTACCCAGTGTATTCCATATTGATATGATTTGAAGGAGACGTTTTTGATGTACTGTCAAGACTGGAGAGAAAAATCCATTTTTGAATTTGTTTTTCTCTGTTCTCTTATGTTACATGTTAAGGAAATATTGGAGTTCTGAAAAGTGTGTCTGTGTGGAGTTTCCTATTTTTTTTTTTTATTTGAAAGACAGAGTTATAGAGAGAGGTAGAGACAGAGAGAGAGGTTTTTCCATCTGCTGGTTCACTCCCCAGATGGCCGCAACGGCCGGAGCTGTGCCAATCTGAAGCCAGGAGCCAGGAGCTTCTTCTGGGTCTCCCACACAGGTGCAGGGGCCCAAGGGCTTGGGCCATCCTCCACTGCTTTCCCAGGCTATAGCAGAGAGCTGGATAGGAAGAGCAGCAGCTGGGACTTGAACCGGCGCCCATATGGGATGCCGGCACTTCAGGCCAGGGCTTTAACCCACTATGCCACAGTGCCAGCCCCACTATTTTTTTTTTTTTAATTGTTTGCATTGCTCACCTTGTAGGAAGGTGCCCATATCCTCCACACATGGGAAGTGTGGTACAAGGTCCATGTGGGGCCTTACCAGCTGTTGCCCTGAGGGTTCCCTGTACGCCTCTGCCACCATTCCTGGAGCCCCTGGGGATAATATGTGTATCCGTGAGTCTGTTTGATGTTCAGCTTCTGCCTGTAGTTTTGCCGGAATCCGCTTAGTGGCAAGAAAACCTATTTCAGAGTTCCATGAATATTCTTCCTGGAACCCGGAACACTGATTTTGTTGTTCTGTTTCTTTCGGATGAGTCTGTTTTCTTCCGGTAATGTTGCTACGTCGAGCAGTCTTCCCAGCTATCTTGCTGAAGCTTGTCTCTCCGCTTGTTTTAGATGGCGGCCACCATAATGATACTGTATGTGTCCAAGCTGAATAAAATCATTCACTTCCCCGATTTTGACAAGAAAATTCCTGTAAAGGTATGTGACAAAGCCGTGATGGGACGTGGGAAATGCACACCCCTGCGTGCACTGGTAAGAAACTTCTCTGTAAAGATTGTCTGTCAGCCGGCGCCGCGGCGCACTAGGCTAATCCTCCGCCTGTGGCGCTGGCACCCCAGGTTCTAGTCCTGGTCGGGGTGCCGGATTCTGTCCCGGTTGCCCCTCTTCCAGGCCAGTTCTCTGCTGTGGCCCGGGAGTGCAGTGGAGGATGGCCCAAGTGCTTGGGCCCTGCACCCCATGGGAGACCAGGAGAAGCACCTGGCTCCTGCCTTCGGATCTGCATGGTGTGCCGGCCGCAGCGGCCATTGGGGGGTGGAAGAAAGGAAGACCTTTCTCTCTGTCTCTCTCTCACTGTCCACTCTGCCTGTCCAAAAAAAAAAAAAAAAGATTATCTGTCATTGAGGTGTCCAGGTCTGTTGTACAATCACAATAAGAGTATGTGCCTTGTAACTGACCTGAAATACATACATCGTGACAGACATCAACCATGACAAACATGGGTATTGTGTGACCTCAAATTTATTCGTGACAAAACTCTAACTCAGGGACCGGCACACGTTTTGGTAAAAGGGCCAGTCCACCTTCCTTTCTACTCTTTAACTCTGCTGATGTGCAGTGAAAGCAGCCCAAGGTGATGGGAAAATGAATCGATCTAATTCTATTCCAGTAAAATTGATTTACGTATTTACATTTGAGGAGTGAACAAGTGGATGGAAGACCTCTCTCTCTCTCTCTCTGTCTGCACCTGGAGATTGTATGTATCCAGTACAAATGGTTTTGTTTAGCTTGGATACATACAGTACCTTTCTTCGTTTCTAGGCTGGATTTGGCCTGTGCACCCTGGGCTGCTTATTCCTGTTTTAAGTTTTCATCATTAGCTTGGATTGCAAAAAACCATGAGTGAGATGGAGACTACAATTTGTCATGCATAGAAATGCATGATTTTTGTCTCTGGTGGAACCAGAAGATCTACCGTTCCTTCCTGGGAATGTGGAATGGAGCCACCCTACACCAAACAGTTCCAGGGTGCCAGGCATTAGGACAGGCATTTTTTTTGAAGATTTATTTTTTATTTATTTGAAACAGTTACAGAGAGAGGTGGAGACAGAGAGAAAGGTCTTCCATCTGCTGGTTCACTCCCCAGATGGCTGCAACAGCCAGAGCTGAGCCGATCCGAAGTCAGGAGCCAGGAGCTTCTTCTGGGCCTCCTACGTGGGTGCAGGGGCTCATGTTCCACTGCTTTCCCAGGCCACAGCAGAGAGCTGGATAAGAAGAGGAGCATCTAGAGTATCCTATGTGGGATGCCGGCGTCCCAGGGAGCAGCTTAACCCATTATGCCACAGCGCTGGCCCCTTCTCCTTCTTCCCACAAGGACCTGAGTCCCACTGGATTAGGGCCCCACTGGTACCCCTTAGAGGTCCTGTCTTCAGGAGCAGTCACCCTGGGGAAGGGGGCGAGGGGGCGAGGGGGCGAGGTTCAGTCCCTGACAGCACATGCGCACTTGTGTCCCTGGGGCTTCACTGCTGCTGGCTCCCATGGTCTGCACATCCCCCAGTGCCGCAGACAAGGTCAGACCCTTCTCCACAGCGGTTCTGTCAGTTCGTATTCCCAGCACGTAGTGCACCCGTGTCCCTGTTGCTTCACGTTCTTGCCAGTTCCTGGTGTGCAGTCGTTTGAGATTTTGTTGATTTGGTGAATGTGTGGCGATGTCTTTAATTTGCACTTCCCTTATGACTAATGAGGTTGAAAACCTTTTCAATTTTTACAAAACTTTTGTTTGAAAGGCAGAGACTGTGTGTGTATGTGTGTGTGAGAGAGAGAGAGAGAGAGAGAGAATGTTTTTCCACCATCTACTTGTTAACTCCCCAACTGCTTGCAATGCCCAGTGCTGGGCCCGGCTGAAGCCGGGAGCCTGAAACTCAATGCAGGTCTCCCATGTGGGTGACAGGGACCTGAGTACTTAGCCATTACCAGCTGCCTTCTAGGGTTGTGTTAGCAGGAAGTTGAAATTGGGTGCAAAGCAGAACCTGAACCCAGGACTTCGGTATGGGCACCTTAGTGTCTTCATTGGCACCTTAGTTGCCTGGCCAGGTGCCTGTTCTCTGTTGCGCCTCCTACAGTACTGTTGATCACCCATGGATCTGTTTCTGGAAGCTGTTTCCTGCACCATAATCAAACAGACTTAATTACTATAGCTTTATAACAAATCTTAATGCTTTCCTTGTTTTTGGTCCTTTGCATTAGTATATGACATTGGAAGCAGCTTGTCATAAAAATAAATGTTCAAGGTTTTGATTGGGTCTGCATTGAATTTATCAATCAGTTTGGGAAGAATTGATATCTTTAAAGTTTAAATCAACCCATGAATAAGTAGAAGATGGCCCAGGTCCTTGGGCCCCTGCACCCATGTGGGAGACCCAGAAGAAGCCCCTGGCTCCTGGCTTCAGATCAGCTCAGTTCTGGCTGTTGCAATCATTTGGAGGGTGAACCAGTGGATGGAAGACCTTTCTCTCTCTCTGCGTCTCCTTCTCTCTGTGTGTAACTCTGACTTTCAAATAAATAAATAAATAAATAAATAAATCTTAAAAAAGAACTAGTCCAGGGTTCTGTGCCTGTGGGCTTGCCTTGGTTTTCCTCGAGGTTTACGTTTTTCCTTTAGTCTTGCCCTGCGGGTTCCTCGTGGTCTTCTGAGTCCTCTTATGCATCTATGAAGGTTTTAAGTTAATGACCTAGCATTTAAAAGTCACCTTATCCAATGCTGTTTCCAGCAAGGGGATTAGCACACACAGTTCAGCAGTCGGTGTTGCTTTTGTTTTTGGATCAGGCGTGGAAATGGGGACAGCCAATGGGAACAGCTGTTGTTTTTGAAGCCTAAGTTGTACTATCACCAGCTGTGCTATTGTGAGTCATTCATAACCAGAAGGCTGACTAGGAAAGGGGACGTCTTGGATCCATCATCCCCTGCTTCTCACTTGAGAGGCCTTTAAAAAGTTCATAGAAGCTGTGCATTATTATTTTAAGATTTATTTATTTATTTGAAAGTCAGAGTTACATAGTGAGAGGAGAGGCACAGAGAGAGAGAGGTCTTCCCTCCATTGGTTCACTCCCCAATTGGCCGCAATGGCCGGAGCTGTGCTGATCTGAAGCCAGGAGCCAGGAGCTTCTTCTGGGTCTCCCATGCAGGTGCAGGGGCCCAAGGACTTGGGCTATCCTCCACTGCTTTCCCAGGCCATAGCAGAGAGCTGGATCAAAAGTAGAGCAGCCGGGACTAGAACTGGCACCCATGTGGGATGCCGGTGCTTCAGGCCAGGGTGTTAACCCACTGTGCCACAGCGCCAGTCCCGCTATGCATTATTATTTTAAAAATGTTTTATTTATTTTCATTCATCTACTAGAAGGAAAAAGGAATAGAAAGATCATCTATCTAGTGGTTCACTCCCCAAATGCCTGCGGGAGCCAGGCCTGGACCACGTGGCAGCTGGAGGCTGGAAGCTCATCCCTGCTTTCCCACTTGGTTGGCAGGGGCCCAGGCACTTGAGCCATCGCCTGCCACCTTCCCAGGTGCATTAAGAGGAAATTGGATCAGAAGCAGAGCAGCTGGGACGCAAACTGACCCTATAGTATGAGATGTGGGTGTCCCAGCTAATGGCTTAGCCCCTGCACCACAACACCTGGCCCCACATTATTATTATTTTTTTTATTTGACAGGCAGAGTTGGACAGTAAGAAAGACATAGAGAAAGGTCTTCCTTCCATTGGTTCACCCCCTAAATGGCCGCCACGGCCAGCTCGCTGCGCTAATCCAAAGTCAGCAGCCAGGTGCTTCCTCCTGGTCTCCCATGCAGGTGCAGGGGCCCAAGCACCTGGGCCATCCTCCACTGCCTTCCTGAGCCACAGCAGAGAGCTGGACTGGAAGAGGAGCAGCTGGGACTAGAACCCGGCACCCATATGGGACGCCGGTGCCGCAGGTAGAGGATTAACCAAGTGAGCCATAGTGCCGGCCCTCCACATTATTTTTTATTTCTTCTTTCTCACAAACTTTTTATTATCTTTAAAATATTTATTTATTTGAAAGGTAGAGTAACAGGGGAGAGAGAGAGAGACAGAGAGAGAGAGAGAGAGAGAGATCTTCCATCTATTGATTTATTCCCCAAAAGGCCAAACAGTGAGGGCTGGGCAGGCCAGTCTGAAGCCAGGAGCCTGGAACTCCATCCAAATCTCCCACGTGTTTGGCAAGCACACTCAAGCACTTGGGCCATCTTCCACTGCCTTCCCAGGCCCAGTAGTAGGGAGCTGGATCTGAAGTAGAGCAGCTGGGATTCGAAGTTGTGGTCCCATACAGAATGCCAGCGTTGCAAACAGCTGCTTAACCAGCTGTGCTACAGTGCTGACCCCTTCACAAACTTAAAAAGAACAACAACACTATTTACTTATTTATTTGAGGACGACACAGAGAGAGAATCTGCCAACCACTAGCTCACTCCCCAGATGCCTGAAATACCCAGGGCTGGGCCAGGTCAGTCATTCCCAAGTGGTGTCTTAACCTGTTGCATCAAACACCTGAGCCCATTTTTACAAACCCTTTTTTTTTTTTTTTTAAGATTTCTTTCTTACTTACTTGAAAGGCTAAGTTACAGACAGAGGAAGAGAGACAGAGATCTTCCAAATGCTGGTTCACCCCTCCAAATGGCTGCAACAGCCAGGGCTGGGCAGGCCAAAGCCAGGAGCTTCTTCTGGGTCTCCCACATGGATGCAGGGGCCCAAGTGCTTGGGCCATCTAGAGCTGGATCAGAAGTGGAGCAGCCAGGTCTCAAACCAGTGCCCATATGGGATGCCAGCACTGCAGGCGACAGCTTTACCCTCTACGCCACAGTGCTGGCCCCTCTACGTACTTTTGAAGTCCTTTTTTATCTTCTTTCTTAAGCAAATGTAGTAATACAATTTTGTAACATTTTTGGGGAAATGGCAGTATTTCAAAGTGCTTCAAAGGATGTCTTATCTGAGTTGAACGCCTTGCTTCTTGGTAGTGGGAAAAGACAGATGGGATACCTGTTGGTAGCTCTGGGCTGTGATACCGGTTAGAAGAGTCTGAGTTCTCACATGATCTTGGAAGAGGACGCTGTTTGTTCATGCATTGCAGAAGGCAAGACTTCACATCCCGTGTGTTTCTTCTGCCTGTTCAGAACAGTATTCCTCTTGATGGTGAGAAAATACTTCAGAAGCTCAGAGTTCAGTAACCGTAGTGCGATGCTGTTGTACCTTATTTGACCTTAGTAGATATTTAATCATTCCAAGTCTTCAAAACAAATACAGCGAAGCCACAGGAATGTGGCTGGTGTTCCCAAGCTTTCCAAAGGTTCACTAACCTGGTGGCTTCCGGTAAGACACCTGACCCTTGATTTGCCTGAAACAGAGCACATGTGTGCAGGGACAGAGGAGGGCTCATGTGTGCAGGTGATGGAGGAGGGCTCGTGTGTTCAGGTGATGGAGGAAGGCACGTGTGTGTGAGTGACAGAATAGTGCATGTGTGTGCAGGGACAGAGGAGGGCTCGTGTGTGCAGGTGACGGAGAAGTGCATGTGTGTGCAGGTGATGGAGGAGGGCACGTGTGTGTGAGTGACAGAATAGTGCACGTGTGTGCAGGGACAGAGGAGGGCTCGTGTGTGCAGGGACAGAGGAGGGCTCATGTGTGCAGGGACAGAGGAGGGCTCATGTGTGCAGGTGATGGAGGAAGGCACGTGTGTGTGAGTGACAGAATAGTGCACATGTGTGCAGGGACAGAGGAGGGCTCGTGTGTGCAGGGACAGGAGGGCACGTGTGTGTGACAGAAAAGTGCACGTGTGTGCAGGTGGTGGAGGAGGGCACGTGTGCGTGAGTGACAGAATAGTGCACATGTGTACAGGGACTGGAGGGCACGTGTGTGTGAGTGACAGAATAGTGCACGTGTGTGCAGGGACAGAGGAGGGCTCGTGTGTGCAGGTGACGGAGAAGTGCACATGTGTGCAGGTGGTGGAGGAGGACACCTGTGTGTGAGTGACAGAATAGTGCACATGTGTGCAGGGATAGAGGAAGGCTCGTGTGTGCAGGTGATGGAGAAGTGCATGTGTGTGCAGGTGATGGAGGAGGGCACATGTGTGTGACAGAATAGTGCACATGTGTGCAGGTGGTGGAGGAGGGCACGTGTGCGTGAGTGACAGAATAGTGCACATGTGTACAGGGACTGGAGGGCACGTGTGTGTGAGTGACAGAATAGTGCACGTGTGTGCAGGGACAGAGGAGGGCTCGTGTGTGCAGGTGACGGAGAAGTGCACATGTGTGCAGGTGGTGGAGGAGGACACCTGTGTGTGAGTGACAGAATAGTGCACATGTGTGCAGGGATAGAGGAAGGCTCGTGTGTGCAGGTGATGGAGAAGTGCATGTGTGTGCAGGTGATGGAGGAGGGCACATGTGTGTGACAGAATAGTGCACATGTGTGCAGGTGGTGGAGGAGGGCACGTGTGCGTGAGTGACAGAATAGTGCATGTGTGTGCAGGGACAGAGGAAGTCTCGTGTGTGCAGGTGATGGAGAAGTGCATGTGTGTGCAGGGACAGAGGAAGGCTCGTGTGTGCAGGTGATGGAGAAGTGCATGTGTGTGCAGGTGGTGGAGGAGGGCACGTGTGCGTGAGTGATAGAATAGTGCATGTGTGTACAGGGACAGGAGGGCACGTGTGTGTGAGTGACAGAATAGTGCACGTGTGTGCAGGGACAGAGGAGTGCATTGTGTGCAGGTAACAGGACTGCACGTGTGTGCAGGGGTAGGGACATATTCTCCTTGCGTAGGCCTGGTCAAGATGGCCATCTCCCTCCCTCCCCAACGCCAGGCTCGTGGGCGTCACTGCTCACCTAACTCTTTGGACCACATGGAGAGACTGTGCACGTCTTTTGGATTCTAGAAAATCCAGTCCTCTTAGACGCAGGAACTAACCTGATTCTCCCACTGGTGGAGGAGGCGGTGAATGTCCCCAGTGTATTTCTGAAGGAAGACACGTTACTGGCTCCTAACCAAATATTCTTTCTTTTTTAAATTGAAGCTGTTTCCTCTGCCCCTCCTCTATGTTGGGAACCACATAAGTGGATTGTCAAGCACAAGGAAATTAAGGTGGGTGCAGGTGGAGGGCTGCTGGGAGGTCCTTCCCTATCTGCTTCTCAACTTTGCTTTTTCAGGATATTGCTCAGGCTACGTAGAGAAGAGACTGATATTTAGCAGTTTAAGAAATTAAGTTGGAGTTTTTTTTTTCTCCAAAGCCTAATCTTTTTTTTTAAAGATTTATTTATTTGAAAGTTATTTACACACACACACACACAGAGAGAGAGAGAGAGAGAGAGAGAGAGAGAGAGGTCTTCCATCCGCTGGTTCACTCCCCAGTGGGCCACAACGGCCAGAGCTGCGCTGATCCCAAGCCAGGAGCCAGAAGATTCTTCCAGGTCTCCCACATGGGTGCAGGGGCCCAAGGACCTGGGCCATCCTCCACTGCCTTCCTGGGCCACAGCAGAGAGCTGGACTGGAATAGGAGCAACCGGGACCAGAACCAGTGCCCATATGGGATGCTGGCACCGCAGGTGGAAGATTAACCTACTGTGCCACGGCGCCGGCCCCTATATTTCTTCTTATAGTCAAATCCAAAAACAGAATATGAGACCTGATGACATCAAGGTAGGGACGGTATGCTTTATCCAGGTAGATTTGTTTATGTGATTATGGTGCTGTTTAACTTTTAGTTTTATCCCAGTTTTATAAAATTCAGCAACATTCTATCTGGTTTGTGTGGAAGAGAAATGACAGTTTTCAAGTGTGTGCTATATAAAATAATTAAGAAGTTTGCATTTATTTCAGGGTCCTGATTGCTTTTGTCAAGACTCACTGTAGGGTGGGAGTTGGGCACAGCAGCTAAGGTGCCGCCTGGGACAGCCACATCCCATTTTACAGTGCCTGGGGTTGAGTCCTAGCTCTGCTTATGATTCCAGCTTCCTGCTGGTATGGACCCTGAGAGGCAGCCATGATGGCTCAAGTGGTTAGGCCCCTGCCACCCACGTGGGAGACCTGGATTGAGATCCTGGCTCTGGCTTTGGCCTGGTCTAGCCACAGCCATTGCAAGCATCTGGGGGAGTGAATCAGTGCATGGAAGCTTTCTCTGTCTTTCTCTCTCTCTCTGTTTGCCTTTCAAGTAAGTAACATAAAAGGAAATCATTATTTCAAGAGGAAAAGGAAAAAGTCACTGTAAAAAATAATCACAGTGGAGGAGTGAAAAGACTAAGCCATCCTATAAACTGGAGAAAATTGTGTGTACTATGTAGTCTAATGGCACACGTGAATGGAAATCTACAAAATGAGAAAACAGGGCGTGTGCTGAGGGTGACAGCAATTGAGGAAGACCTGTTTGTGCAGTGAGAGTGGAAATGGAGAGGTGAGAGGTAGACCAGGAGGAGGACATATAAAAATGACCAATGTGAAGTGACACCCTTTGTCATTCCTTTCGAAAGGGCGCATGGTGATGTGAAAAAGAAAAAAACCATGAAATACGGGTTTTAGCATCATGGTGTCCCATTTTATCCACAGGCGCTAAGTTCCAAGACCCCTGACACAGGGATTGTTCTGAACCCAGTATATTCTGTGTTTTCCCATCCCTACAGAGCTATGATGAAGTTTCACTTAAAAATTAGGCATTGTAAGAGATTGACAGCAAAACTAATAATAGGACAGTGGTTGCAATGTACTGCAGTAAAAGTTATTTAAAAATGTGAATTGTTTCTGGAATTTTCCACGTGACATTCTGGGTCCGCAGTTGATCCTGGGTGAGTGCAGCCATGGGAAGTGAAACCATGGGTTGGGGTGTGTGGTGAGAACACACAGTAGTATGTTTAGTTGTTTGTTGTTTCCTTCAAGGATTACTACAGTTGGTTTTATTTATTTGTTTTCACTTATTTGAAAGAGACAGACAGATCTTCCATGCACTGGTTTGCTCCACACATGCCCACAACAGCCTGGGCTGGAGTTGGGGCTGGCTGAGGCCAGGTGCCCAGAACTTCATCCTTCTGTCATCTGTGGGTGACAGGGACCCAACGACTTGTGCCCTCACCTGCTGCCTTCCAAGGTGTGCAACAGGAAGCTGGAATGAAAAATTGAGCCAGGACTGAACCCTGGTACAGTGATATGGGATGCTGGCATCCTAAGTGGTATCTTAACCACTGTGCTAAACACCCCTCAATTTTGGGGGGGTAACATGGCATTATTATGTTAATAGCCCATAATTCCATTCTTTAAAACATCATTTGGGCTGGCACTGTGGTGTAATAGGTAAATCCGCCACCTTCGGTGCCAGCATCCCATATGGGCACCGGTTCAAGTCCTGGCTGCTCCAATTCCGATCCAGGTCTCTGCTAGATCTCTCTGGCCTGGGAAAGCAGTAGAAGATGGCCCAAGTCCTTGGGCCCCTGCACCCTTGTGGGAAACCCGGAAGAAGCTCCTGGCTCCTGGCTTTGGATCGGCGCATCTCTGGCCGTTGTGGCCAATTGGGGAGTGAACCATTGGATGGAAGACCTCTTTCTCTCTCTCTGCCTCTCCTTTTCTCTCTTTGTAACTCTGACTCTCAAAGTAAATAAATAAATCTTTTAAAAAAAGGAATAAAAACATAATGTAAGGTATTCGGTTTAGCCTTTTCCCATATACAGAATGTATCTTACGATAGTGATACATTTAGTTTGGTATCTTCCACGTTAACCACTGTTGGAAAATGAGCTTTTATATTCCAGAGTTTTTATATATACATATATATATATATATATATATATAATGTTCTCTCAGTGGATGTATGTATGTTTATTTTACCATTGCTAGTGTCTGATATTTAGATCGTTACTGATACTTTTCCAAAAGCATTACTGCTTTGCACACGTCTGTGCAATTTTTTTCCTTTCTTCTGGATGATTAACTTAGACTAATTGGACCCAAGGTCAGGACTGTGTAACGACTGTTGACATATAGTGCCAGCCTGATTTGTTGGAGGCTGGATCGTCGTCCCCATCGCCAAGTGGTTTAGCACAGTCTTTGTAGTGGTCGATAGTGTGATGGTGGGGATGATGTGAAGTATGTAATTGCTGTATCTTTTTAGGGTTTCATATGATTTGTTCATGGCAAACGTGAGGGTTATATTGAATCTGGAGAATGGCTAGGCCGTTCAAACAGAAAGACACCGCAGCGGTGCTTACTGCCATCTGATGTTGTGTTCTCGTCTCGATCTGGCAGCTTGCCGATGTTCACCGTCCTCAGGAAGTTCACCATCCCGCTGACTCTGCTCCTCGAGACGCTCATCCTCGGGTGACTTCTCTATGTTCCCTTCGTCCTGTGTGTCCCCCATCGCGCGCATTACCTTTACCCCGCGACTTCTGTCATCCAGCCATCTGCCCAAATAGTTGATCTGAGTTTCTGGTTGCAAGAACTTAAGGACAAGTTGTTTATTGACCTAAAAGAAGCCACTTGTGTGTGTGTAATTTCCAAAGAACCCAAAGGGTTTTTTTTTTTTAAATTGCAGTTTTACATTAAACAATTAACATGTTTGTGATAGAAAATGATGAAAGGAAAAACCGCCACCCCAAACGGATATGAATCTGTTCACAGAGCCAAATGGAAGAAGAACTATCCACGTATACACACAGCACAGGAGTGTAGGAGAGCAGGGAGGTCGATTAGCGTACGGTGATTGTAACAGAAATCAGGGGAAGCCACTCTTTAATGTTGGCGTACAGACCTCACACGGGGATACTCAGGCTGACATGCCGCAAGCTGACAGCACAGACCCTGGTTTGCAGTCAGGTGAAGAAAAAGGCTGAGGCGAGTTTGTCAGCTTGGTCTGACTTCTAGATGCTCTGTGAAGCTTCTGTGTGTTGGATTTTTAAGCAGGGAACTGTTGATGTGTGTTTCCAGTTTGTCTGCAAAATGTAATCCATATTCTTACTTCCCGCCTCCCCGTCACCTTTCCTCTCTTATTATTTGCCCGTGGCAGGAAGCAGTATTCGCTGCACATCATCGCCAGCGTCTTCGCCATCATTCTCGGGGCGTTCATAGCAGCTGGGTAAGACTCTGGGCCGCTTTGGCTCAATCACGTCTTTGTGTCTCTGACAATAGGCCCCTTCCCTGGTTTTTCATTTCCCATCTGGCTGCAGTTGAATTGAGTGGCCAGGAGACAAATCTGTTGAAGTTAGCAGAGTCCCCGTGTGTTCCTGTGACAGTCACACTGGGTCCCACGTCCGCCACCACATGTCTGAGGGTACGCAGGGAGTGCCTGGGATATTAATACAGATTTTCACCTGAACTGTTTTCCTTTATTACTGATATTTGTCTCCAGTATAAAAACTTTCTAGGCTGGCGCCGCAGCTCAATAGGCTAATCCTCCATCTGCGGCGCCGGCACCCCCGGTTCTAGTCCTGGTCGGGCGCTGGATTCTGTCCCGGTTGCCCCTCTTCCAGGCCAGCTCTCTGCTGTGGCCAGGGAGTGCAGTGGAGGATGGCCCAAGTGCTTGGGCCCTGCACCCCATGGGAGACCAGGAGAAGCACCTGGCTCCTGGCTTCAGATCAGTGCAGCGCACCGGCCGAAGCGGCCATTGTGGGGGTGAACCAATGGCAAAGGAAGACCTTTCTCTCTGTCTCTCTCTCACTGTCCACTCTGTAAAAAAAAAAAAAAAAAAAAAAAAAAAAAAAAAAAAAAAAACACAAAACACAAAACAAAACAAAACAAAAAAAAACGGGGACTTTCTAAAGCCTGCATGCTGATGGTTTGATCGTTCTGTGATAGCGTAGCAGTCACCATTTCCAGCATAGCATGCCGTCCTTGAGGGCATTTGTATGTTGGGGATACAAGGCAGCAGGGGCGGCCGGACTGCTGCCTTCACCCTCAGTGTGCACGAGCAGGAATGAGGACCCCCCCCCCCATCCTCCTGTCTGCATTGGCAGGCAAGTACTTGGATTTCTGTTTGCTATAGCATGGTGCTTAACACAGCTGCACAGTTAACATTCCTGGGGCTCAGGGATTTAAAATATATATATATATATATATATATATATATATATATAATTTGAAAGGCAGAAAGACACACACACACATACACACACAGACAAGCAGAGGGAGATCTTCCCTCTACTGCTTTACTTCCCAGATGTCTACAACAGCTGGGACTGGGTCAGGTCAAATGAAGCCAGGAGCCCAGAACTGAATCCAGGTCTCCCACATGGGTGACAGGGACCCAACCACCTGGGCCTCCCAGGGTGCAGCAGGAAGCTGGAATCGGGAGCTGAGCTGGACTTGAAGCCAGGCACTCAACATGGGCTGCAGTGTGGGATACTGGCATCTAAACTGCTGTGCAGACCCCCCGCCCTCATCCTGGTATTCAGAACTTAGCCTGCCCTCTGCCGATTGTTTCCAGGCCTCTCCGGGCCTCAGTTTACCCGATCTGTAAGGCAAAGGTAATACCAGCAAATGAACCCACCTGAAGCAAGGGGGAAGACTACAAGTTGGAGGAATTTTGCTTAAACTGGTTAACTCATTTAGACTCACAGCACTTGGCTGCAGGCCTGCTGGGACCCTCCTCTTCCCCTCATTCCTGTTAGTGCATCCACGTGCAGGCAGCTGTGCATGGCAGTCCGTGGGCTGAGCCTCAAAGGGGCCTTCCTGTGTCATCCTGGCGGAGAAGAGGAATGTAGGGGCCGCTGTGCCCTGGCTGATGAAGCTTCCGCACCGCGTTTCCCTCCTCCTTTTTATTCAACAAAGCAAGTCACGCGGCTTAAAGGAATTGAAATAGGAAGCCCGCAAGGCAGCCACCAGAGTTAGCCTAGGGTCTGCTCTGATTTATAAAGCAGAGCCAACTCGCACACTCCACACCTGGCTGCCGGCCTACAGTGAGCGCTGAGTAAGACACCTGACAGCACGAACGGCTTCAGGGATGAGCGCACGACTGTTGGGAGCTCCTGGCCTCCGGAGGGGGGAACTGAAGGTTCTGGAAATTTCCCTCGGGCTCTCTGAACTAAACAGCGCCTTCCGTGCACGCCTTCCCAAGCCTAGCCTTTTCTACTCATTCTCCGTTAGAATAAAAATTTTAGGCAGATAAATTTAGCAGGAGTTTAATTGAGAAAAGAAGGATTGGCAAACCAGCAGATGTTTGGAAGCTCCATGCTACCATGTGGTCGGGTAGTACTTAAGGCCAGAAAGAGGAGGGACGGTACAGAGACGGCTTGGCTGGATGCAGCGTGGTGGCTGCCTTGTGTGAACGCGGTTGGATTAACTGGTGGCCTGCAGTGCAGTGAAGCTTGGCCCCTGTGACGGGCAGAGACTCAGCTGTTTGCTACTGAAGTGTACTCCTGAGGTAGGCTGTGAGCTAGCTTAGGGTCCAAGTTAGGTTGTATTCCTTCTGTAATAATCAGTGGGTGGGTGGGGGGCAGCGCTGTGACATATCAGGTTAAGCAACTGATATGGGCGCCGGTTTGAGTCCCGGCTGCTCCACTTCCAATCCAGCTCTCTGCTACGGCCTGGGAAAGCAGCGGAAGATGAACCAAGTCCTTGGACCCCTGTACCTGCATGAGAGACCTGGAAGAAGCTCCTGGCTCTTGGCTTCGGATCAGCACAGCTGTGGCCATTGCGGCCGTTTGGGGAGTGAACCAGCGGATGGAAGACCTCTCTCTCTCTCTTCTCTCCCTGTGTAACTCTTACTTTCAAATATATAAATCTTTAAAAAAGAAAGAGAAAAAAAATCTTAAAAAAAATCAATCCGGAGACATCCTGAAGCCAGACAGGGTTTAGTTTGACACAGTTTCTGCAGTCTTAGGGGATGGCAAACTCTTTATTTTTATAAAGGTGGTTACTAGCCTTGCACATGGACTCCATTAGCAAAGATAAGATAGAGTGGGAGGCCAGGTTGTGAGAGGGAGAGAGAGACAGAGACAGCTGGTTCACTTCCCAGATGCCTGCCAACAGCCAGAGCTGGGAGCCGGAACTCAGTCTAGGTGTCACACGTGGGTGGCAGGAACCCAGTTACTTGGGCCATCACCTGCTGCCTTCCACAGTGTGCACTATTAGCAAGAAGCTGGAGTCAGCAAGTGGAGGAGGGTCTTGAAACCAAGCACTCTGAATAGGGGGTGTGGCCAAACACCTGCATGGCAAGCTCTTTGTGATACAAAATCAGATCAAATGAGAATAGGCAAGAAAAGATTTGGAAGGCTTACTTTGAGAAAATTCATGTCTTCTTTTTAAAATACTATTTATTTGAAAGTCAGAGTTACACAGAGGGAGAAGGAGAGGCAGAGAGAGAGGGAGGTCTTACATCCACTGGATCACTCCCTAATTGGCTGCAATGGCCGGAAGCGCTGATCTGAAGCCAGGAGCCAGGAGCTTCTTCTGGGTCTCCCACATGGGTGCAGGGGCCCAAGGACTTGGGCCATCCTCTGCTGCTTTCCCAGACCACAGCAGGGAGCTGGATTGGAAGTGGAGCAGCTGGGACTTGAACTGGCCCCCATATGGGATGCTGGCACTGCAGACCAACCCTGAGAAAATTCATTTCTTATGATTGAGCTAGAGAGGTTTTTTTTTTGTTTGTTTGTTTTTTGTTTTTTTTTTTTTTTTAAGAGTTTATTTGAAAAGCAGTTAGAGAGAAAGAGAAATCTTCTGTCAGCCGGTTCACTCCCTAAATGGCCACAATAAGAAACCTGGGCCAGGCCAAGGCCAGGGGCTGGGAACCCTGTCCAGGGCTCCCATGTGGGGAGCCAGAGAATTCTGACTTATCATCAGAATTGGAATCAATTTACATTCTCCTATCTATATTTATAGATAATAATACCAGTGGAAGCCTCAGATAGAACTCTGATTCAATTTGCATTCCGATTTTGAGGCAGTTTTGGCCTATTTCTTTCTCTTTGGTTAGGGATAATGTTAATTTGCTGTTATTGCAAGTGAGTGAGGGCATCCCACGCCCAAGCAGGCCGCTTTGGGTTACAGGCTATTCTGAGTTGAACAGGGGAGTGTTCTCTGATGTGAGAGGAGCCCTGCCTTCCTCTTTGCTGCCTGGGAAGCAGGCACGGACTTCTTTGTGGAGGTGGCCCTTCTGCCAGACCAGGAAGAGAAGGTGACCTGGTCACTGGAGACAGAGCTCACAGCGGGATGACACGCGTACATGAACCCTAGAGCAGTGCGTCTGGCCCCTGATGTTCCGACGCGTGCAAAACCCGGTCCCTCTTGCTAAATGCTCACATGCAACCTAAGTGCCCTCAGCGTGCATGCTCCTCTGAGTTTCATTTCTTTTTTGTGAACTTCCATGCTCATATGATATTAATGCAGTTTGTATTCCCTCTCTCCTCTTCGTCTGTTTCTTCTTTTTTCTTCTCAGTTAAATTTTGCAGGCCCCAGAGCCTGAATCTAAGAGGGTAGGGGAGTTTTTCCTCCTGGGCTCCCTCTGCAGTGCAGGTGGCCAGAGCCCTTCATGGCCCAGCTATTGTCCTCCCTCTGGTCCTCCTCGCTCTGCATCCCCTGGTGTTATTTATTTAAAATGGAAAGTGATTGTTTCCAAAGAATGGAAGAAAGGAGCCTTAACAGGAGTCTTAGAGAAGACAAGGGTGCCTCCTGCTTTGCCTTTTTGATGGACAGGGGAACTGTGGCACAGATGGAGGTGTCACTTCCTCTCTCTCTCTCCAGTCCCTGCCCAGCTGTCCCAACTCACTGGCCCCTGGGGATGGCCCTGCTGACTCCTCAGCCCCTGAGTGGAGCAGGCGGGCCACTGCCTTTCGATAGAAAAGTCAGGGCTTGCCGGTGAGTCTGCCGATTCCACTGGCCATCGAGCCAATGAAAGGGCTTTGCAGCTCAAGGAAGAGGGTCAGTGGCCCTCCAGCGTTAAGCCCCCCGAGATCAAGTTAAGCCACCTGTTTGTTTTCCATTGGGAGGCAGAGCGGAGGAGTGAACTGTGCCCTGCCTCGGAGCAGGAGATGTGCCATTGAAAAGCGATCAGCGTCGCACGTGAACCCCCTTAGCCAAAGGTGGAACAGGCAGAGGAGGAGGCCAGGTCGTGAGCTTCTGAATAATCAGCCTCTTGTGTTCTGCCCACCAGCTCGGACCTTGCCTTTAACTTGGAAGGCTACGTTTTCGTGTTCCTGAACGACGTCTTCACAGCCGCCAATGGGGTTTACACCAAGCAGAAAATGGACCCGAAGGTAGCAGATCCTCCCTCCCAAGGGAGTATAGGCTGTGACCCCTGGCCCCTGACCGCCACAAGCAGAAAGGAAAATGGATTTGGACAGTTGGCGTGTCGTTCCCTTTATGTCCTGTGATCCGTCTGTTACTAATGTCTGGGGAAAAGACACGGCCCTAGCGCTTGCAGAATATAGAAAGAGGGCGTTGCTTCGAACCACAAGTTAGTTGCTTGTTTTGCCAGCATCATCAGCGGCCAAGGCCGAGACACGGTCAGGGCATTTGTCTGTCTATTGAGAGTCCGGAGACGCTGGGCTGCGCGCTCGGGTGTTTCTACTTCCTGGCCATCATGACATTGAACATGAACTGCAAACGGCCGGTTCCTTGTCTGTGGAAGGAGACGGTTGGAATGGCTCATTTGTAATGTGTTGTCCTGCAGGAACGGCTTCTGTTGACTGTCAGGGGCTGCCTGGCGTGGGGGGCCTCACCCACGCCCAGCTGTTCGGGAGGCTGTGCAGGGTGAGCGGGCAGAAGGTTCTTTGTTTCCCTGGCCTTTGTGTGCTGTGAGGGAGTTGGCTCTGACCGCCAGCCTTATTTCCATGGCTGTTTTGTTTTTTTCTTTTTTAAATCTGCAGGGTCATTTATTATTATTTTTTAATGGTGGCAGTTTCACAAAAACAGACTTCTTGCTTTTTGAGAATTGCAATATGTCACCCTTGCTGGGAACTGGCAGAGAAGGGCTGCAGCCACTTTGATGAAAGTGAACGCGAAACGCTGCTCTTCAACGGGAGAGAGCAGATGTGCATAAGGAGTTCTGTTTCTATTAGCATTTTCGATCGTCTTTATTTTTGTTCCAGATTTTCCGCTGTGAGTGACATGCTTTCAAGACAACAGACCCTGCACACGGGGGACGTTAGGGAGGGGTGGGATGCCGGCGCCCTCTGCCTGCCCTCTGTTTTATCTATAGTTTTGTCAGTGTGTGTTCTAGGATCAAAGTAGATTTGAAATGAGGCGTTTGCCATCCCAGCAGTGCTGGGAGCAGCCCAGGCAGTGTTCTCACTGTAACTGCATGGCTGTAGAAATGGCTCCGGGGGAAATTTCTAGAACCGGACAAGGTGTCCTTTGCTTTTTGCAGGAGCTGGGGAAATACGGAGTGCTTTTCTACAACGCCTGCTTCATGATCGTCCCGACTCTCATCATCAGCGTCTCCACTGGAGACCTTCAGCAGGTGAGCTGGTGCCCAGCAGTGCGCTGGTCTCACCTGGCCGCCCTCTGCAACCTCAGCACTGGACCTTTGGTTCTGGCTGAGATAAAAAGTGTGAAGGTACGAGGATTGCCAGGAGGGCACAGGAGAGCCCGATGTTCCTGAGCCCTCGTGATACAAGCTACTTCCCAGAGGTGCTGGGAAAATGGAATTGAAAGAGAGGTTTAGGGGCCGGGAGTTTCGCGGGGCAGCTGACGCTGCCTGGGATGCCTGTAGCACGGATCAGAGTGCCTGGGCACGGGTCCTGGCTCCCGTGCTCCAATTCCAGTTTCCTGCTAATGCACACCGTGGGAGGCAGCAGGTGATGGCTCAAGTGCTTGGCTCCCTGCCACCCACCTGGCAGGCCCAGTTTGAATTCCAACCTCCTGGTTCAGGCAGGCCTGGCCCAGCTCAGCCATTGCAGGCATTTGGGGTGTGGACGAGAGGGTGGAAGATCTCCATCTGTCTCTCTCTGCCTTTCACTTAAATAAAAATAAATTTGGCACAAAAAAGTTTGAAATTCTTACTTATCAGGCATCTTCAAAAAGTTTATGGAAAATGCATATTATGAAAATTTTTTTATATTTGGATTTTTTTTTTTACCCCAAACTAAATGGATCCTTTAATTCCATGTATCCTGAACTTTTGGAACTGCCCTCATGCATTTGGCCCTGCCTTGCATTGGCGTTGTGTTCAGCGATGTGAGAAGCAGCAACAAATTCTGGACTTGAAACTTTCTGGAGCGCAATGACGATGGAAAAATCTGGTCCCATTGTCCCTGTCTGCTTGGCCTCCAGGAAAGTCACTTAGCTAAGTGGAGCATTTCGATAGTTTGAAAAAGGGTTTGTTTACTTATTTGTTACTGATTCTTGGGACATTTTGGAACATACACGGAGTAGCATAATTCAGTGAACTGTCCTGCACTCATCACCCAGCTTCAAGGTTTTTCTGCGTTTTGCTCTTAGTGTGCCTGTCTCCATATTCCCGCCACTCAGAAATTTTGTTTTTGAGACACTTCCTCTCCAATGCTCCATTTTTAATTTCTTCACAGTTTTATTTGAGTTATGAGAGAGAGAGAATGAATGAGCATGCCCGTCTGCTGATTGACTCCTGCAGTGGCTGGGGCTGGGCCAGACTGAGGTCAGGAGCTCAATCCTGGTCTCCCACATGGGTGGCAGGGACCCAAGCACTTGGGTCACCACCTCTGCCTCCCATGGTGTGCAAAATCAGAAAGCCGGAGTCATGATGGAGCTGGCTCTTGAACCCAGGCACTCTGACATGGGTTGCGGGCATCCTGACCCCAAGTGGCATCTTAAACACTGTACCAGATGTGTTCTCTCTCTCTCTCTCTTTTTTTTTTTTTTGACAGGCAGAGTGGACAGTGAGAGAGAGAGAGACATAGAGAAAGGTCTTCCTTTGCCTTTGGTTCACCCTCCAATGGCCACTGCGACCGGTGCACCGCGCTGATCTGCAGCCAGGAGCCAGGTGCTTCTCCTGGTCTCCCATGTGGGTGCAGGGCCCAAGCACTTGGGCCATCCTCCACTGCACTCCTGGGCCACAGCAGAGAGCTGGCCTGGAAGAGGGGCAACCGGGACAGAATCCGGTGCCCCGACCGGGACTAGAACCCGGTGTGCCGGCGCCACAAGGTGGAGGATTAGCCTAGTGAGCTGCGGCGCCAGCCCAGATGCGTTCTCAACCACACACACCTCCCCGGAGCATTCATTTTATTTTTTAAAAAGATTTATTTATTTGTTTATTTTGTTTATTTGAAAGGCAGAGTTACAGAGAGAGAGAGAGAGGTCTTCCATCTGCTGGTTCATTCCACAAATGGCCACAGTGGCCTGGACTGGGCCAGGTGGAAGCCAGAAGCCAGGAGCTTCTTCCAGGTCTCCCACGTGGGTGGCAGGGGCCCAAGCACCTGGGCCATCTGCTGCTTTCCCAGGCGCATTAGCAGGGAGCTGCATCAGAAGTGGAGCACCCATGTGGGATGCCAATGCTGCAGGCAGCAGCCTCTCTCCAGAGCCTTTAAAAACACAGCCCAGACATTGTTGCCATTTATCTCTAAATATTCCAGGATCTACACTTGACTTTTGAGAGGGTTTTATTCATTTCGTCTTGTCTTTCTTACCACGTGAAGGACAAAAATAATGGTAAATTAGTACAGGTTGAACATCCCTAATCTGAAAATCTGAAATCTGAAATACTCCAGAATGTGGAGCTTCTGAGTGTCAGCGTGAGGCCACAAATGGCCATTTCCACATTGCACAACGGTACTCAAAATATTGTAGAAAATGACATTCAGAGCTTTGTATGTAAGGTAAATGTTTTAAATGTTAAAAAGCTATAAAAATTATCAGGAGAAAAGTTTATGAGAAGGGCTTCTATAAAAATGACAAAATTCAAAAGTCAGTTAACAGTTTAACCATTTTATTTTACACGTGTTGTATGACAAGAAGTGTCAAAAGATGCAGGATGCTTACTGTTATCAGGAAGAAAACCGAGCAGCCTTGTGGGGAAAGGTGGTGAGATTTTCACCGCCCACATTGCTCTGAATTCACTGGTTTGGGCTGAACGTCCTCCCTGGGCCACTTCTGACGGTGGCTGAATCCCTCCGAGGTTGGGGACCACTCTGAGAAAAACCCGCCTGTTGTCCTGTGCCTTCGGGCGTGCAGCCTTCTGGCCGTCTGCTCTCTGCTTTCCTGCCCGTGCTGCATGACGTGTGGCTGCTCCTAACCGCACACTTGGCTCCACATGGTTCCCCGCCGGCTCTCTGCCTGGTGGAGTAGAGGCACTGGGATCATACCAGCGTGTGGAAGACACCGTCCAGCTCCTGGGAGAACACACTTGAAGGGGCACAAATGGATGTGCCAGGACTTCACAAGAGACCACTGGGGTTCTCCCAGGCAGAAGCTGATACGGCCTTGGACTAGAACAGCAGGAGAGGAGTTACAGAGCTCCATGCGGATGCTCCTGGGAAAGCAGTGGAAGATGGCCCAAGACCCTGGCCTCTGTACCCATGTGGGGACCCTGATGAAGTTCCTGGCTCCTAGATAAGGCCTGGCCTAGCCCCCTGGCTGTTGCAGCCATTTGGGAAATGAACCAGTAGATAGAAGACATCTCTCTCTCTCTCTTTCTTAGCTCTTCCCCTCCTCCTGCAACTCTGCCCTTCAAGTAAATAAAATGAATCTTTTTAAAAAAAAAGAAAGGAAGAAAGAAAGAAAGAAATGCATCTGTGTTTGTTAGCCTGCAGTGGAATATCACATTCTGTTGGCCACGTGTGAGCCGTCGGTACTGAAGGCCGATTGCTGAGTTAGAGCGAGGTGTTCGCTGCTCTTGTTAACAGCGGGAGTTGGATGAGTCGTTTGTCCTGGTTGGCGAGGTGGAGAGATCAGAGGCTGTGGTACAGCCGGTTGTGACTCACTGCTCCGGGAACCGAGTCCTGGACTCTGGACTTAGCACGATCAGGACATCTGTTCACAGAGCCTTGATTCCATCTGATCCACAGGGTTGTTAGCAAGTCCTCTTAGGAACACATTGGGCCCATGGAAAATAGTCAGCGAGTGAACTTTGGTTCATCGCTGTAACTGCCTCAAAGTACATCTCGTGTATTCTTATGCTGATGAATAGGGATAATAGGAAAGCATTTTAAAAATCTTATTGAAGAAATCCATACTTTTAACTGCAACATTAAATCTCAAGGGAGAAGAACTTTATTGTTATTTTCTGTTGGTCTCTGTTTTACGATAGATACCATGCAACATTATTTCTTAAATGATGTCATCATTAATAAAGAAAATACAAGATTCTAGATTAGTGAAGCATCTAAACCGTTTCATGAAAATTACTAAATAGCCCTCAGTGGTTTATTTGGTATCAGGAGCTGATAGTTTTATTTACTGTTAACAAAATGCTTCCAGCTCTTTGAGTAAATAAATGTCTCTCTATCCTTTGGTTTCAAAGTTGAGGCATATTTTTTCTCTTACTCCAGTTTTATCTTGACTTTAGATACTGTTTTCTTTCTTTTAGATTTATTTATTTATTTGAAAGGCAGAATTACCAAGAGGCAGAGGCAGAGAGAGAGAGAGAGAGGTCTTCCATCCACTGGTTCACTCCCCAGTTGGCTGCTCTAAGGCCACCACAAAACACACCAAACACCGGAGTTAGAGAGAGGAAAGGTTGAATGTCGGGTGGGGGAAGCCCAATGGGCCAGGAGGAGAGGGTGAGGGAGTAAGAGAGGGTAAGAGAGAGAGAGAGAGAGAGAGAGATAGAGAGAGAGATATCAAGAAAGATACAGGTGTTCAGGAACAGGTCCTGTTAAACCTTTTCCAGGGGGCGGGCAGGGAAATAGGAGCAGCAAATCCCATTAGAGTGAGGGTGGAGCTGACACCTGTGGTTGGGCCATCTGGTCACCTGGTTTCCAGCAAGGCTTCTAGCAGGGGCCAGAGCTCAGGATGGCGTCTGGGGCATAGATGGCACCGTTTTACTAACAGCTGCAGTGCTGGGGCGTGACCAGGCTGAAACCCGGAGCCAGGACTCCCGCATGGCAGGGACTGAGTACTTGAGCCATCTTCTGCTGCCTCCCCTTGCACATGGACAGGAAGCTGGATCAGAGGTGAAACAGGGGCACGCCAGCCAGCACTCTGATCCACGATGCCCGTGTCAAAGGCAGTGGCCACTCTGCTGTGCCACAGTGCTGACCACCTTGCAGCCACCTTTTGAGGAGGGCTTTATTTATTTTTAAAATAATCCCTATTTTGTGAAATGAGCCTGAGATGCGGGAAGAAAAAGTGATAAATACAACTTTATATAAGTGGTAGGTATCATTTAGGATTTTTGACATTGTATTTTCTGTCTGGGAAGGTGGTTCATGTATCAAAATACACAGTTTGATAAAACCAGTATGTTTAAATTTCAATACAATTAATCCTTAGTTTTTGTTTTCTTTTTACTAATAGGCTACTGAATTCAACCAATGGAAGAATGTTCTATTTATCATGCAATTTCTTCTTTCCTGTTTCTTGGGGTAAGAAACCATGGATGAGTAGAAGTGTGGATGACGTTTCTTGACAGCCCTAAATGATTTAGTATAACAATTAGAGACCTAACGTTTACATTGTTTTAGGTATTGCAAGCCACCTCGAGATGATTTAAAGTTTGCAGTGGGAGTATGTGTGTGTTTTTCCTCTTCTGGTTCAGAGACTATGTGGAATGTGTCCTAAATTTTCTAAGGTGGAGGGCAGGCACTGGGTGCCAATATGAGTCCCAGGGGTTGAATCCTGGCTCTGCTTCTGGTTCTGACTTCCTGTGCAGGAAGTCCTGGGGGGCAGCAGGTAATGGACCCTGTAGAGGGAGATTTGAAATGAGTTCTGGGCTCCTGGCTTCAGCTTGGCCCAGCCCTGGTTGTTGCAGGCATTTTGGGGGTGAACCAGTAGGTAGGAGATCTCTCTCTGTCTCTCTGCCTTTTAAATTAAAAGTGAATTTTTTTTTCTGGGTCAGGCATTCGTTGCAATAGCTAAGATGCTATTTGGAACACCCATGTGTCATATAAAAGTGCCTGGGTTCCAATCCTGGCTCCACTTCCAGTTCCAATCTCCCCCTCAAGGGCTCCCTGGGAGGCAGCTGGAGAGATGGCTATAGTACTTGGGTCCCCGCCATCCATGTGGGAGACTTGGGGTTGAGTTCTGGCCTCCTGGCTTCAGTCTGAGCCAGCCCTGTCTATTGTTTGAGAAGTGAACCAGCAGATGGAATCTCTCTCTGTTTTTGTCTCCATGCCTTTCAAGTAGGTTAAAACAAAATCCTAAGCACTCGAAAATCTCTTTGTGTGAATAGGCGCTATGTGCGTCTAGTAAGTATTTGAGCAGGTATAAGAGAATGAACTGGCTGCCTTCATCCCAGCCAGCAGTCCTGCAGTTCTCCTCTAGAGCAGTCTTGGTGGAGTTCTTCAGAGTGTCCTTCCCTGCTGGGCTCCAGTGTACACAGGTCTACGTGCCACGTCCCAGACTGATGGGCTGCAGAGTACCGTCTCAGGGAAATGCTTACCAAAGGATTTGTCCTGCGAAGAAAAGTCCCCCTTGTTTTTTAAACACAAGTACTACAATTTTCATTATGTGTAAGTTCAGTTCCCAAGCTTGATTTTTTTTTGAAGATTTATTTATTTACTTGAAAGTCAGAGTTACACAGAGAGAGGAGAGGCAGAGAAATAGAGAGAGAGGTCTTCCATCTGATGGTTCACTCCCCAATTGGCTGCAATGGCTGGAGCTGTGCCGATCCGGAGCCAGGAGCCAGGAGCTTCTTCCGGGTCTCCCATGTGGGTGCAGGGGCCCAAGGGCTTGGGGCATCTTCTGTTGCTTCCCAGGCCTTAGCAGAGAGCTGGATCAGAAGTGGAGCAGCTGGGTCTCGAACCAGCGCCCATATGGGATGCCGGCGCTTCAGGCCAGGGCATTAACCTGCTGCACCACAGCGCCGGCCCCCCAAGCTTGCTTTTAATTGCAGTGCTATAGCAATGCAATAAGTATATTTATGCATATCTTCCATTCATTAAGTCCTTTTTTTAAAAAAAGATTTATTTATTTATTTACATAGAGAGAGAAGGAGAGGCAGAGAAAGAGAGAGGTCTTCCATCCACTGGTTCACTCCCCGATTGGCCGCGATGGCTAGAGCTGTGCTGATCCGAAGCCAGGAGCCAGGAGCTTCCTCTAGGTCTCCCACGTGGGTGCAGGGGCCCAAGGACTTGGGCCATCTTCCACTGCTTTCCCAGGCCATAGCAGAGAGCTGGATCAGAAGTGGAGCAGCCAGGACTCAAACCAGCACCCATATGAGATGCCAGCACTGCAGACGGCAGCTTTACCTGCTACACCACAGCACTGGCCCCTCATTAAGTCTTTCTTTAGCCATGTGACTTCATGTGTAACCTGTGGATGGAGCTTTTTATTTTAACAATTATATGTTTTATATGTTTTATTTGTAAAAGTTCCAGTTTTTTCCCCCAAATTCATTCCTGACATTCTTTTATTGGTGATCTTTGTGAACGTGCCTTTTCTTTCTTTAAATGCTACACAGTTATTATTTTGAAAAACTTTTATTTGAAAGGCAGAGAGGGAAGGGGAGAGAGACAGAGAGAGAGAGAGATGTCATTTACTGGCTCGCTTCCCAAATGCGTGCAGCAGCCAGGGCTGAGCCAAGCTTAAGTCTGGAGCTGGGAACTCCATTTAGGTCTCCTGTGCAGGTGGCAGGGACTCAATTATTTGAGCCCTCACCTGCTGCCTCCCAAGGTGCACATTAGCAGGAAGCTGGAATCAGAAGCAGAGCCAGGACTCGAACCAGACGCTTTGATGTGGGATGCAGGCATGCCAAGGAGCATCCTGACTGCCACACCAAATGCCTGCCCACACATAACCGTTGTCTGTTCTGTATCTGATGATTCCATATCTGCAGTTATGGAGAGTTTGAGTATATACATGGGATGTTCAGAAACTTCATGGGAATGCAGATGATGGAAACACTATGCTTGGATTTCGATTTCTGTTTGCTCTTTTAAAAGATATTTATTTACTTGAAATGTAGTTACAGAGAGGGAAGAGACAAGAGAGATCTGTCTGCTGGTGCACTCCCCAAATGTCTGCAATAGCCTGGGCTGGGCCAGGTAGAAGCCAGGAGCCAGGAGCTTTAGCCAGGTCTCCCACATGGATGCATGGACCCAAGCACTTGGGCCATCTTCTGCTGCTTTCCCGGGTGCATTAGCAGGGAGCTGGATTGGAAGTGCAGCAGTTGGGACTTAAACCCTCAACCAAATGGGATGCCGGCACTGCAGGCACGACGCTGGTGCCTATTCCTGTTTATCCACAAGCGTTTTGAAGTCTCCTGACATTTTGTTGTTCCAGACATCTGTCCTTGTGGTTTGCTTTCTTGTAACCTGTGATTGTGAGAATCACTTAACCTTCGTCAGTCCTGTGGAATGAGATAGAACCTTCTTCGCAGCGGGCACATTGCATTTGCTTCTGCTTGAGCCAGGAGTTACCTTGGACCTGGGCGACCCTTTGTGGGGCTGGGATCAGACTCCCTCCCACCCCACTAGCTGGAGTTTGGCCCATGGCTCACTTTTTGGACAGCCCTGTCCAGTTGTCTGCCAGGATCACTTCTCCCTGGCCCCGGTGCCCTGTCATTCGGAACCTATTCCTTCTTTTTTCTTGAGGGAGGGATTTTGTGTCACTTTCAACATCTCAGGCAACGCGTTGTGTGCAGGCACTGACTGCTGTGCCGCGGGAGGGTCCCTTAGGGTCCTTAGCAGATGTTTGGGGAAAGATTTGTGGTCTTCCCAGTTGATGCCTGGAAACATTTAACTTGAAAAAGAAATCTGCTAAGCCGTGTCTGTGAGTCACCGTGTGTCTTACTGTTTTCACTCTCTGCTCAGAAAATGAAATACGAGCAGCGCCAGTGCAGATGAGCCCCTGGCGCTTTGTGCCCAGGTGTTCCTGCGAACAGTAGATCAGTGGTTTTCAGTCTTCTCTCGTTCATTATAGACATGGTGAAGTACTGGTGTTTGTTTTGAGTTTTATTGCACTATATCATGTAAACATTTTTTTTTTTTTGACAGGCAGAGTGGACAGTGAGAGAGAGACAGAGAGAAAGGTCTTCCTTTGCCGTTGGTTCACCCTCCAATGGCCGCTGCGGCCGGCGCACCGCGCTGATCTGATGGCAGGAGCCAGGTGCTTCTCCTGGTCTCCCATGGGGTGCAGGGCCCAAGCACTTGGGCCATCCTCCACTGCACTCCCTGGCCACAGCAGAGAGCTGGCCTGGAAGAGGGGCAACCGGGACAGAATCCAGCGCCCCGACTGGGACTAGAACCCGGGGTGCTGGCGCCGCAGATGGAGGATTAGCCTAGTGAGCCGCGGCGCTGGCCATCATGTAAACATTCTAAGGGTGGGTGTTTAGCCTAGAGGTTAAGTTGCTGGTGGAGAAACATGTGTCCCACATAGGGGTACCTTTTTTTTTTTTTTTAAGATTTATTTACTTATTTGAAAGGCAGAGTTACAGAAAGGCAGAGGCAGTGAAAAAGAGAGAGAGAGAAAGAGAGAGAAAGAGAGAGAGAGAGAGAGAGAGAGAGTCTTCCATCCACTGGTTCACTCCCAGGACAACTGCAATGGCCAGAGCTGAGCCGATCCAAAGCCAGGAGCCAGGAGCTTCCTCCAGGTCTCCTATGTGGGTACAGGGGCCCAAGGACTAGGGCCATCCTCTACTGCTTTCCCAGGCCACAGCAGAGAGCTGGATGAGAAGTAGAGCAGCTGAGACTTGAACCAGTGCCCATATGGGATGTCGGCACTGCAGGCGGCAGCTTTACCCGCTGTGCAGCAGCGGTGGCCCCAGGTTTAAACCTGGTTTAACATCCAGCTCTGGCTGCTGGCTCTGGTTGCCTGCGAGTGCACCCTGGGAAGCCACAGGTGATGAATGCAGTGCTTGGGTTCCTGTCATTCATGTGGGAGACCCAGGGTTGAGTGCCTGGCTCCTGACTTCAGCCTGGTACAACCCTGGGAAAGTCACCCAGAGGATAGGAGATTTCTCTCAGTCTCGCTGTTAAATAGATAAATAAAAATGAAAAAAAGGAGGTAACCCCTGTAAAACCTGCGTGCTCAGTGAGAGAGGGGTGGGCAACCCTGCTTCCAGCTGTCACTCCGGTCTCAGCCAGGCGAGCGTGGACTCCACTGGTGTACAGCTCCGTTTCTCTGGTTTAATAATGCGCCTCTTAGAAAACAAACGCTCTTGTCTTCTCAGTAGTCATTTTGTAAATGAGAAAGTCCTAAAAGCGTAGTAATGATGGATGAGTCAGTGATAGCGATAAGATCAGGAGCATTCCAGGATGGCAACCAGGCAGATGCCCTTTGACAGGCTGGGCGTTTTCAGGGCACTAAATGCATGGCTCCATCCCCGGGCTTCCGAGCCTGCGTTCTGGAAGCAGATGGCTCGAGTCTGAATCCTAGCTTTCCACTAGTTTATCCCTGGGTTCTTGGACAAGTTAGTCAACTTTTT